TTTTCGCATAATTCTATTGTTTCTATTGTTTGGCCCAAATATACTGCTTGGTTCCGAGAGGAAGACTGTTTCGCGCTTAGTTTTCTCATTTGGTCAAAGAAATTCGATAATTCTATTTAAATAGTCTCAAATAATTTGACACACTTCTTCTGTCGCATTAATTCTGACGGTTTGTCTCTCTTTTTATTACTTTATTGTGTGCGCCTTCTCGCTTTCCCGTGATTTTCCATCCGGATACTCCCATCATCCCGTGAACCAGTCATCCAACCTTTTTATTGACCATGTTTGAGTGGCTTGACTTCAACGATTGAATAGGGATTAATGACGTCAACTAGTTCTGACGATATTTTTACTGTATTACGTTTTTTTCTTTAATGTTCTCCTTCCACTAGCTTGCGGAAAATTTAAAATTAAAAATCGAGTAAAGTCGAAAATAACCTCGGTTTACCAAAACCTAATTTACAGTTTAAATCCAATTTCACTCCAACCGTATTGTTTGGTTGTTCCAACACGAAGGTAGTAGTAACATGCATATAAAATTATTATTAAAATTATAGTACAATTGACTAGTTGGAGCATTTGACTCACACTACAAATATGTATAATAAAATAACATATTTATTATACATATTTATTTACGGCAAAGTAAGAGAAAAACATTCTTTGGCATACGTGAGGAGAACAAAGAAGTTTTTGCAATTGTAGAATAAATATTGCATAATCTGCAAATAATTATGTTAAATAATGCATAATCTGCCGATGGACTAGATTTGCAAATACGATTGGCACAGAAATGCATTTAAGCTAAGCACGTGATGGAGACAAGACATTTTGAAAACATGCTTAAAAAAGAATATATATATATATATATATATATATATATATATATATATATATATATATATATATATATAAGTCCTGTATTTCGTTCCCCAAACATAATCTTACATTGCCTCCCATGGAGTGCGATAAAACCGCTTCTTCTTTCGATCCCCTCTCGACTGTTCCATTCTCACGCTTTCGCGATCCTCTTTATCGTCACCACACGCTCTCGTCGGATTTCATTCGTAAGCCGCGTTAGTCAGGAATCGTTGTTCAGCCCGGCGCACACGAATCGCTGCGCCGGAAACGAATAGAAGCCACTCGACGGCGGCGGCGGCGGTGGCGGCGCCGGCGGCGTTGGCGCAGGCGGTGGTGGTGCGGACTTTCCAATATTTCCTCGATAACTTCCACGACGCAGGATAATTCGCTTTCGGGCCGTTGGACCGCGAAAAGCATTCGCCTCGTTGCCTCCCGTCATCGTACTCGTTGTGGGGCACGAAGGGATATGTAGCCTGGCGCGGATCCTGCGACACCTGAACCCGCTCAGGGTCTCCCTCGTGAGAAGTGCGTTCGCGCGTGGGATTGCGCGTTTCGCCGCGCCTCGTCCTGCCGATCGGTTTCGCCCCTCGGGCGCGTTTCGCACGCGTCGGAGTCATCGACGATGTCATCGTCGGCTGCGTGCGACAACGCGAACGTGATTTCATCGCATGCGACCTCCCTGAGTCCCTACGATCCCGTGATTATGTGGGTTATATCCAGCCGTTGCGTTGAGCGGTCTGTGCAACTCTGCTGGCCATTACACACACGCGTCGGACAAATTGAAGTGAAGGCTGCAGGTGCGCCAATTGCTCCTCTCGTAGAAATACATTCCGCGTTAAAATAAAAGCACACACGTTTACGAATGAACGCGGTTTATCGCGGACATATAAATCGTAAAATATAAATCGTTGCCTTTTCCAAAGAGGAAATATTCAGGTTGTTATTGTTCCACCTAACGCGCGATCCATTTTCAAAATTGATTCCATCATGAAAAATAATGAAAAAAGATTTACGAGAGAAATACGATCAGCGTGTCTACTTCCTGCTACGGAAAATACGCGCGAGTATTTTCCAACGAAATCTTTGTGATTGCTATTCAATCGTTTTGTCACGGTATTGATACGCCGACGTATCGATTGCGAGAAAATATTGATTCTCGAAAATGCAACGCACCGAAGGAGCTCTCTAATGTAACAAGTTCGCTAATGTAATTTGACACGTGCACGTCTCATTCGCATTTCGCATTCGCGAAATAATTTGCGAGAACAGAAGTCTTTGGGCGAAGAATCTCGTTAGTTCCTCAATGAAATTTACCACGGGTGAAAGTAAGACGGTAATAGAAAAGAAGATCGACGTTTAAACCCGCGGCGCGCTCCGTTTAGCTCTCAGGTATTTCGGTGAGTTTTAAAATGACCTGCGCTACCACATAAATATATCTTACGTAACTTTCTCGAGACACAAACTGTGCGGTCTCCAACGTCGTGCCCCAACGAGAGCCTGTGCCACGCACACTTAGGCCCTCGCTCAGAACTTTCTTTAATCGACAAAAGTGCCTCTAAATGTGCTTATAAGCCAATCAAAAGACTCATAAGTCATAATCAGAGGCACTTTTATCGTTAGAAGATCGTTCCGAGTAAGGACCTTGGTTGTGCTAAACGATTTGGTCAACGATACAGTTGAACTCTCACCGCACTGTCGAAATTGAGAGTCATTACCGACGGAGCTTGCGCAGTAAATATATCATCACAGTTATTGTTATTATTAATTATATATTATCTCCTATTCTCTTACTCATTACATTATTAATAATATTATCGCGTAAGCCCGCCGCGCGGTAATGACTCTCAACTGGCACATTATATTGTGTCTAAACCGTTTTGCACAGCCAAGATCTTTATTCTGAACGTCTTCTTAACGATAAGATTGCCTCTAATTGTGACTTATGAGCCTTCTGATTGGTTCACGAGCATGTTTAGTGGCGCTTCGTTCTACAACCGACTACACACCAGCGCTGTCAATTTCGATCAGCCGAGTACCCGAGGGTAGTCGAAATTGACAGCACCACTACACACCTCGATGAACGCTTCAACGTCCTCTGTCTTCCGGCTATCGACGTATCCGATGATCACGCGTGACGACGGCGCACGGCGCTTTAATTACGGTGCGTAGCCGACGAAACAACTGCGTGAGTGGTGATAGTGATTATTCACCGGGTAGTTCGAGACTGGCCGCGCGATAGGAGCCCGCTGACGTCGAAGATTATTCAACGCCCGACGTTCGATGGAACGCGACGAGCCGGCGCACTTATCGCCGTTGGCGCACAATGGATTTTCAAACGGTCATTTCGATTGCCGATCGCGTTCGCGGGGGCTGAAGGAACAGAGCGCGAAAAGGTTGGCCTCGTTTTCCCGCCCTGTTACCTCATCGCGATAATCCCGTGGCCCGCGCGCCCGCGCTCCTCCGAGCGAAATCGCCGTCGATAATGCGCCGTTAACAGGCTTATCTGATAATTTTGCGCGTGCTACGTCGGGAATAGCCATAAAGTGGAAAACGATCGCTTGAAAAGGGGATCCCGATGCGAGACGCGCGCGACGGCCAATTTTCCTGTTCTCGGTTCATCCCTAACCGGATTTATACGTCAAATTATACCGGTCTCGCGTACCTCAAGTTATTACCGCAAGTGCCGGCGGAATAAGGGACGAATGAAGTGCGAGCTGTTGCTCCCGTTCCCGCGAATGCGATTAGCACGTATCCCCGAAGGAGATCGACGTCGTTACCCGCGATCGCGCCAGGATGCAATTTCGGGCAACGTCAAACAGTACGCAGCGCTACTAGCGCTCTACATTTTACTCCACACGTCGTCCTCATGCATACATCGGAAATGCATGGAATAAATTAGAATCCTGCAAATTTACCCGCGGTATCAGTGCCCGCGACACTTCGGAGCATACCGAAGCGCGCCCGACTGCCGTGCTCTGTAGAACAGAGATACGATTCGCTTTTTTCTCTCTTCCTCTCTCTTCCTCTCTCTCCTATAGATACTACTATCTTGCGGAGAGCGAGATAAGTTGAAAGCTATGCGATGGAAGAAGCAGCAAAGAAGCAGATGGTACAGTAAGCAGACGTATATTGCGTCGAGGCTTTCATTTCCTGCTACGATGCGCCAATTGATTTCCGTAGAAAAATATTCAACGCGTTGATACGACTAATCTAAAGAGCAGTGCAAAGTGAACCACACGATCATTGACATTCCCCTTAGTCATCGACACTCTGGATATCTTGATTTTTCTTGCAACCAGCAGCATCTGCTCGCGGTTTTAATTTCGTGAAGGCTTCTTTTGAAATTATAGAATGCAGACAGAAAGCTTAACTGCAATGCTAGTCATGGGAAAAAATTAGCAGTCTAAAAAAAGTTTTTCTAGTGCCAATGACTAATCTGTTTCTGCTAACATTGATTAAACATTAATCTCAGTGAAATCTTTGAATAAAGTTTGGACTAAAAATTGAAGTAAAAATAATTGTTTGATAACAATAACCTGTGTTAGTGTCATTTGTTACCTTTTCATCGGAGCACTGCTGTGTCTTCATAAATTGTCAATGCTACATAGAACAGTCAATGCTAGACAGAATGTGTCTTTTTCTTATAAATTCTTTTCAATTTTCCTGTTTTCAGTAGCGCAGATATAGACAGCCAGAAATGCCTATCTTGCTAAGGAACTTAATAAATTTCGCTAGGAACGTAGACAATTATTTAATAGCATATTTCAGTTGCTAAAATTTAACGAGCACACGTGAAATGAAAAAAAAGTAATGAATTACTACAGAAAATCGGTGTATCCTTCGATTACAAAATTCTATGGTGATTTTTTACTAAAATTCTCGCTCACTTGCAACCTGTCTCTTAACGTTTTCAGTAATTTCTTTTGCAGAAGGAAAGAATAAAGTAATATCCATCGCAAACACTTTCCGTTTGTGTTAAACTGTTACTCGAAGTGTAGCGTCTAACCTTGGCGATCTGGAGTCAAACGACACAGCAAGCGAAATAACTGGCTGAACGAACAACAGTCTACAAACCGTCTCTCGACCTCGTCCTCTCCGTCACCTTATAAGTCTTACGAGGATTGGCAAAAACGTCTTACCCATTAGCTTGCGGACCTCCGTCTGGCTGAGGAAGAGGTTGAAGTAGCTCGCTGCCGGCTGCGCGACGGCCAACAGCAACATCGTCGTGAATCTCCAGAGCATCGTGGCCGCCACGTGACGTTCCGCTCGTGGTGTACGCGGCTCTATATGTGTGCTCGCGCCCGCGCGACGAAACAACGCACTGCCGCGAGCAGCAACAACCAAACAACCAGCCACAACAACACCCGACCGGACGCGCTACGCTCCGGCGCGATTCATATTTTCGCGCGATGCAAGTGCCCCGTGCGACGTCGGAGGAAACCCCACGGGTTTACGCGTGCACGTGACACACGCCGCGCCTCCAGCGCGGGTCTTCTCGGGAGCGCCCCGATGACGCGCTCGTGGCCGCGGACTGCCTTTTGACAGCTCGTAGCGCGTGGCACGCGTGTTATCCGACCGAGGGACACTCCCACACGAGAAGCGCGCGTTCGCGGGCTCACCTGGATGTCACGATGCGCTAACGATGCGATGAGTATCGAGCGACGCGCGTACAACAGACACGACCGGGCGATGCGACGCGGAATGGTGCGAGAACAGAGCGGAACTCTCATGGAGAGCGCGCGGCGTGCCTGCCTGCCTGCCTCGTGAAAGCCACAACCAGTTGTGTGCTACCATCGCCATGGGTCGTCTAGGGTCGGCGCAGGCTTGTCGACCGAGAGCAGCCGAGCAGGCACGAAACGTGCCGAGGTCCACCTACGAGAACCAACGATGGTCGTGGTTGTGAGCCCACGACCAGAAGAGATCGAACGGTCGCTCTCGAACGAGACCAGAATTGAATTTTAAATTCACTGACGGCAATATTGCGCGAGCGCAGAGGCGCGTCTGGGGGAAGGGAAGAAGGAGGGGGAGGGGGAAAATCGCTGAACGCATCTGTCTTCTACTGTTTATGACTTGGAACAATTTGCAACGTCCGAGCTACGTGTCCGCAAACAGACGGAACGCTCGACGGAGTTGCTTGCCTCACGCGTTGTCGAACGTTCGCAAAACACTCTCAAAGTGAATCAGGAAGAATGTTTCCGATTGAATCAGCGAGAGGGACATCACGCAGTGCAAACAGAGATTTTTTTCCGAAGATATAAACGTTGATTCAAGAAGTATCATAGTAGTTTTGTCTGGTTGAGATAATATTGTCGTAATGTGGAACGAGTTTCAAGTAGGTACGGGAAATTCAGAGAGTAAAATATATAAAACTATACGCAGAAGCAATTTTTTGATTTTTTGCGGCGAATTCCTCATGATTTCATTATTTCTGTTTATGTTCAAAGGGATGTTGAAGTGAATGACGAACTCCGAAAATGTCGATAACGTAGGAGTGATCATCGCTAACAACCACGCTATCTTTTTCGTATTTCTTGTACGTATATACAGAACTTACGTAAATATGAATTGCTTTGTTTTACTATATTCAACGAAAAATTTAACCATGCATTTGTAGAAATCTTTCTGCAAATTTTTTCGATAATTTTAAACTTCTGAATTTAGACGATAATTCAGTTCGTCGTAAAACGTATGTTTTAAATAACGTACGTTTTAAATTAAAAATCAACAAAAGGTTTCTTAAAGCATGTCCTAAATACATGAAAAATACTTAAAAAATATATTGTTATTTAAAGCAAAAACATGTTTCCTAAACATTTCCTTCCTTCTTTGCTCTCATCGTGGTATTCCTCCTTAAAATGTACACGGAAATCGACGCTTCTTCGACCAGAATGACCCTATCTACGTCATTTGCGCGAACCGTTTCCTAACGGTTTTGCTTTTATGAACGTAATAAGCTGACGATTCTATCGCGATGAAACTTCTCATCCCTCTGGCGAAGTGTCGCGTACGCACACATAAAAATTGAATCGCAGCCAAGAGTCGACAATTCTCGCGAATCAATCGCGCTGAAGGAGGTCTAATTGAGTGGGACAGCTTCTCATATTGTAAATAGAGGATGATACGGCCAATCGATGCTTCTTACGTCAACTGATATTTACTCCTTTTACGGTCACACGGCTCGTGACATTGGTGTTGCTAACCGTACAAAATTGAAAGGGTAACAGCGAGTTCTCGGCGAGCAATAAATTCCAGGTCCTTTATTCACGGTACTTCGGTAACGGACTACACACCCCTCACGTGCCGTCCGAAGCTGAAAGTCGAGTCTCACTCCGTGGCCAGGCCATTTCATTCTTTTTCCTCCTATTGTCAGACGTGTATAACACCTCGCTGCCTCATTAATCGGTATCAATCGACAAACAAGACAAAGTGATGTGAAGCATTTCTTTGATTATCTGTTTGTTTGCTTAACGTGTTTTATGGGAGGTTCTACCTTCCCAGGGAAAGCCACACTCAGAGAAAGAACAAGGACAATTATGTTAAGTGACAACTGTACGAGTTTTGTATGTAAAGTTAAGGGGAGGCATTAACATAACAAGGCAAGATAGGATCCTTTTCAGAATTTAGAATTTATAACTTTTTAGACAACTGATAGTTATGATTGACTGGGCACATGTGATAGAGACAACCTTCCTCTATGTTTTTATGCCATCAGCGATCCTATAAATCGTAGATTTTGTTCTGTAATAAATCTAAATATTTGTAATAACCTAAATACGAATATGCTGTGACCATCTTGCTCGGGCAAGTTGTCTAGCAAAGGATAATGCAGGAGTCGACATCTGACGTAGGACGTTCGATATCCATGAGGCGAATTCTGGAGACAAAGATGTCACCAGCTGAAAACTCCAGAAAAGAAAAACTCCAATATCGGATTTCGGATCGTCGTACGTCGAATGTGCGAGTGCAAATAATTAAAAGTATGTTGTAATTATCGCAACTAAGAACTATAAAGCACGAACTACAAAATATAGTTATCACTCCTATAGTTGTCATCATGTTTTTTTTGTCTGAGTGCGATAACACATTTGAACGTTTCACAACCGTGCGATTGTTTCACGCATACGCACTACTACCATTGATTACGTAGCTGTCGCAAGTGTAAAGTTTCATCCTTCCACGTGAAAACACATACACGCTAACCGCAGGTAGCCGTAGGTTTAACCGCGGATTTATGAGACGCGAGCGAGACGTGTGGGAATATTCTCTGCATCCCTCAGCAGGAAGAGATGAAGATTATCCATTAGAAATCTCGTTGTCTGCTTCTCGGTTAACACGATTAACTGTATTTTATGCTAAACTGTCCCGAAGGTCGTACACAAAAGGACACTCATACAATCGTACATTTCCATATTTTATATCTGCCTGTCTACATGGGAAGGAGACCAAGATTGTAAATCGTATTCCGGCTGGAGGATACCAGCGATAAGCATTCGGGCATGTCAAATTATTGACGATAAACCACGCTTTCGATCGCACTTTCGGGCATTTTTTCCTCTCCGGGCGCTACCTGGAGAATGACGCGCTTTATGGAGGAGACCTGCCACGAGCGCAATGTGGAATACGAGGTGCTCTCGAATTTCATCCCGAAGGAATCGGGGGCAATTGGAATATCCATCGTGCATTTGCATAATTCGCGATCGACGACGGATAGGGAGAACGCCCACGTAGCCGCGTCGAATCACGATCGTCTTACTGCGGGTCTGCCTTTCCTTTTTCTCGTCCGCCAGGACGCGCTTGATTACCGAACGCCGTTATTACTGAAGATGCGCGAGCGAGGATACGAGAGGCGGAAGAGGCGAGGAGGCGGGCGAGCAGGACTTGTTTTGCAAATTCGCAGTTGATTGAAAAGCTCGTGCGGCATAAAAACGGCCGGCTAACTGCGGCGGGGGAAATGAGCGAAAAAAGAGCCGGGTGATTACTCTCTTACCGTATTATAGTACAAGCTAAGGAGCGTCGAGAAGCGTCTGTCTGTTAACAGGCCCGATCTGGCCCATTGGTGGTCGATGGATGCTCGCGAGGGAGCAAATTCGTACGATGCGTCCTCGCGTGTCTTACCTTTTTTGGTTCGCGTCATCGTCGTCGTAGTCGTCGTGCAGAGCTATTAACTTAATCTTCGCGATCATACAGTTACTAGAATTATCATTTCATATTTTATCGATACGCGCGGCTCAGCCTCTCATTTGCCTATCGTCTCGATACCGTTGATACGGATTACGCGCTACTACCCGGTAAGTAGAAAATGTCGGTACGATGCCTGCGAAAGTAACGAGCGTAAGAAGGAATGGAGTTTAATCTGCGTAGTAATCGAATCAATCGGCGATCCCTTATCTTCTTTCCCATCAAATTGCACCGATTTGCTGCTGATAGAGTTAGCTAATCTCCCGCGTTATCCGAGTACCAAATCTATGATTGCTATCTATTTTTTCAGAGAAAACTTATCCTTACGAAGAAGTGTTCGCTTGTTTAGCCCAGAAATCTGCGTCGCTGTTGCGAATTATTCGTTGACGTATTTGAGGAACTGACAGAACCCGTGTTACTGTTACCCCGAGTTAACCCTTTCGCAACGAGTTTCACTGAAAAAAAAGTATTTCATACTTTATAACTAATCATTGTCAGGAATCAGTCCAAGCCGTGATCAGGAAAAAGGATAGGTGACCGTGTCAGGGGATGATTAATATGAGTATTTGAGTGGAAAATCATCGAGGAGAGGAGAGAGAGAAGGGTGCACTCTCGCTGAAGTAATAGAAAAGACTGTCAGCGATGCGTAATTGCCATCACTATGTGTTTCTTTGAATGTAGAAAGATCTCATTAGTGTCTCTTTGCATTATAGATGTCCCTCTGCGAAACTATAATAATGTTACGAATAATTTTTATAAAAACCATAAACTACATGATGTAACAAAGCTTCTGTTAAAAGTCTGTTAAGACTCTGGCCACCGAATAGTGCACATGGTCCGTTCTTCCGTACAATGATAGCATAGCGGAGGGGCCGACTCCGTCGTCGCGAAAAGGCTAACATTGCGAAGAAGAGCACGCGGACTACAAGAGTCTGTTGATTGTGTGTGCGAGCGATATTTGGATCACTATCAGGCCTGTGTGGTAGTCGGCGCGTGAGCACAATATACAGTGGACCCAAAGCTGATACAGCTGATATCATAAACAAGACTGCGCAGTGCGCGGTATGAAGCGCGGTTTAATCTACTGCAAATACAGGGCGCTTCACTTAAATCAAGGCAGTGTCAAGAAGAGAGAACGGACCTCTTTGTCGGTCCTAATCTGCGCAAACAGTCGTATATCTGGCAGTTGTCGGCCAAACTCTCGGTTTATCCGAATTTATCCCGGCAACGGCTTCTGGAAGATGTCGCGAGACACGAGACTGTTCATCTTCTGTACTCTCTTTCGGATATTTCCCAGTGTACGTTCCAGAATTTACCAGAGTTTACATTATAATTACGACACACAGCCGTTGTTAAATCTTTATTCGCACGCAGCGTAATCGCCGGCAACGCGTCGTAACGTTTTCATCGCCGGTGAAAAACTCGCGAGAAGCTTGGCGTTATAACGTCGCATCTCACCGCTAGCAGCCGTAACGCGCGCGATTCGAATCCCCTTCCACCTTCATTTTATATATATATATATATATATATATTTTATATATATATATATATATATT